CCCGGCCCGCTAGGGTGCTTACCCTGGCGAGCCGCGTGCCGAACGTTGCCGACCCCTGTACTAGAGACAAAGATCAGACAGACAAGGGAGAACAACTAATCTCACCTGCAGTTTCCTCATCTTCCCCTGATGAGGCAGTGAACCCCTCACCATCTTCTCCAGTCAACCTATTGAAGGGGTTCCAAGATGTTAAAATACATGGCAGAAGCTTGACCTACTTTTGGGGGAGGTACAAGAGACCACAAATTGTTGGATGTTCTACATCCTTCCACGTGCGATAAAACACAATTACTGTAAGGTAAGTAACCATTCTTTCCTTGAGTACATGCTAAATGGGGGATTCAAAAATATTTCCATAAGGAGAGCTGCATGTTAATAATAAATTGACACTTTCCTTCTATGATCACTTACTCTTGGGGGAATTCTGCACCAAAAATTAAAAATTCTGCACACTATTTTCAAAGTCTGCAAAATACTACATATTTATTTGTCAAAATAACAATATAATCACACCAGCTTCAATTATTTTGGTAATTTATTTCAAAATACCTGTCAGCAAGTATGTCTGTAATAATACAGACAACTAAAAAGATTTAGAAAATGGTTTTTGGCAAATAGATTCCTTACTAGGCATATTAATACAGAACTTTCAGTAATAATTCATTTAAACTACAATACAGACACATGCTTCCCCCTCAGAAGCAGTGAAAAGGCTTGAAGGAGTCAGGGGTAACAGGAGCTGAGGGAGAGGGAAGTAATTGCTGGGGAGAAGCCTGGGCATGAACCTGAAGAGTTGTTGGGTATGGGTAGGAGAAAAATGGAACAGGATTGTTTTGGTGGGGGGGATGAGAGATTGTTGTGGAGCCTCTCCCATGGAGAGACTGGCTGACCCCTAGCCTCTCAGTCAGGCACATCTGCCCCTGTCCTTATGTGTCTCTGCACCCCTACTCAGTCATCCCCATTTGGCCCTGCATCCTCACTCAGCCACCCCCCCTTCTCCCTGTGGCCCAGTACCCCCACTCCCATTTGGCCCCCATCCCAGTGTGGCCCCCCCAACAGCCCCATGCTGTCCATATCTCTTACCACTCCCCATGGACCCATGCGCAGGGCACTGTGAGGAACGCAGCCTCTTCTCCCTCTCCCATCGCTGCAGCTAGCTGCTCCTGACCAGAGGTGGCTGCCCTCTGTTCTGGTGCCACAGGAATCCCTGATGGGCAAAAGCCATAACCTCTCCAGCAGAAAGTATTTTCTGCTGAGAAAAAAAATTCTGCAGGGGACATGAATTCTGCACATATGCAATGGCGCAGACTTCCCCCTGAGTAATTTCTTAACATTGCAGTGGCACCCACAAATCTCACCTACATAAGTATGAGTCTTAATCTTACATGTCTTTTGGGGGGGGGGGAATTAGTATCTACTTCCATCTTCCTTTTCCAATTTATTCTGTTGGCTAGAAACAAGAACCAGCATTGTATGACCAGCCAATTGTCCACAGGCTACTTATCTCCAGAGCCCCGTCAGGTGCTGAAACACTTCATTTTTAAAAACAAATGTGCCTATAATTTAAACAGCAATATTTTAAAAATTAGTTTAGTTCTTATAACTTAAAATAGCTGCATGGTTTATTTATTCAAGTTTCAGGGGAAGAGTTTATTCATGCTCCAAATTCCTAAACTAAATTTTCATGCAGAACCAATATTTCCCCTTTTCTCCCCCTTCGGCAGTACATTTAAAATGCAGGTGCTGCTTCAGCCTCAATTAGAAAGTAGCATGAACACCAAATCAGGACAATAAGAGTGGTTATACTGTAAGTGAATTTACTTAAGTTTTACCTCTACTCACCCTTTCAGTTCTCTTCTGTAAACACATCCAGGCTCAGATACCTGAGACCATCTATCAAAAGTTTCCTCCCAAACAGGTGTGGCAGGCTACTCAAATGTTCGCATGCTACTGAGGATACACAGTAGGGTTAAATAAGTCAGAAAGGAAGAGTGAGTTAAACTCAGTGAGACATTGCCATGGGGCTGGCTATGAATGCAACACAAGATTGTTTCCTGTTAGGTGAGGGGCTCAGACCTCCATTTACTATGGTTAAAGTGACAACTTGCCTTTTTGATGGAACTGTTACAAAAATCTGGATATCTGTACACACTCATCTGGTACTGCTCCCTACTTGGCATCTAGATTTGCAGGGCAGTTTTACCATTCTGATTTAACTGGAATTTTCAAGACCAACTGCGGGGGAAATGTGTGGAATGATTCTTAAAGGTTACTCACCAACTTCTTAAGCTGTGCTCATTGTACATTCAGACTACCCCCCCGCCTTCCCCTCTTCCTCAGGGTTCTAGCACTGTGCGACTGGTTGAGTTGTTTGGGTGTGCAAAATTGTCTCCAAATTTTCAGTACCACAAAAAGGGATGCCCAATGGGCCCTGATTCCTTGAAGGTTGCTGTGTAGCTCCTGTGTACCAAAGGCACCTTTCGTGAAATATGCAAAAGCAGTATATTTGAACTACAGTTACTAGTCAGCTATCTTTGTATTTTGGAACAAAACAAAGGAGGAAACTCTATCCAACATCAGGAACTAAAGCTGCCATAAGAACACTGCTTTGGTGAGATGTTAATGGTTCTGAAGGGCCATTTGTATGATAATGCATGAGATTCCAACCGCAATCCATTAATACCTAGGATCTTCTACCAGGCATTAAAGGGCTAAAATTGGTCCATATCTAAGTAGTCAGTCAGGATTTCCTTGTAGTAGCGTTTTAACTAGGGTCCTAGCACTAAAAGGCAAA